TTCAAAATACATAAAGGAAAATTGATTCCATTAATAATTTAATAATCTATTAAATTTTAAAATTCCAAATTCCTTTCAATTCAAAAAAAGCAGGAGTGACTCAAAAGGGCTATGGATTTTGGCCGTGTACATTACAACGTCATGCAGCAGGGCCAAATGTAAGTTTCACTTTATTAACCCTTTGGGACGCATATTGGGACCCCATAGCCCCCAATAAAAAATTAATGTTGGGTTAAAAAGCAGGGCTGTGGGTCGGTAGGGAAAATGCCCGAGTCCGACCTGATTATCATTATAAGCATATAACATGGGTACAGCTTATTTTTTAATATAAAAGTATAGATGCTAGAAAAAATTGCATAGCAAATTTTTTAATTAATTAGCATTATATGAAATGGGAAACTTGCATTAGTAATTTCTAAGAAATAGTAAAACTTCGGCAAGATCTTCTTTTAGAGGACCTAGATTCGATGATAAACCTCAGAATTGAGAAGAGTCTTTCCACTCTGACTTGAGTAGGAAAAGAGCTGTTACTGTTACGGGCTACTTCCTGTAACTTTCAGGGTAGATTTTTGTAATTCTAAAGAGGGTCTTGCAAGAGCATATCTATTTCTTGAAAGGCCGTAAAAATCTGTTTGTATTTTTCATTTTTATATCTTCTTTCTTTACTTTCATTTGCTTTTGCCTTAGCCTTTTCAATATATCCAAATTTGCTCAAAATCTAATTCATCAGTGGAAGAAGATGATGCAGACCGTTGCATATCTGCAGTTGACTGTCCTGATTTGAATCTCTATCTGTTCTGAAATATCAAAAACTAATTCATCAGTGGAAATGATACGACTCAGTTGCAATATCGCAGTATGACTGTCCTGATTGAATACACTAGCTGTTCTGAAAATAAATTCATTCTTATTGAAATTCATAGATGGCTTTCTTTGCCTTTTCAATTTGTTTGTCATCCAACAAAATCAGCGTTTTGGATCTACATATATTGAACCCAGCGTGAATCTTATTGTCTAGCAAACTAGTTTCTCTTTTCTTCCTTGAGGAACAATTCCTTCTGCAAAACCCTCCTTTCAGAAAGAACAAACATCGCATTTTTCCAGTCTTGTCTCTGTTATTCTCAGATTGTAGCTTTTGTGGCTATATGTATAGAAAGAATATTTCCAATTCTGCAAGATCATTCACAGTCTTTCTGTTAGTGAAATGTTAAGGTTATGGTCATCTTCTAACATTCTCGGTCTCCGTTAATTCTTCAGATTGTAACTTTTTGTGGCAAACACGGTGTTGAAAGAAGTGTGGAGAACTCTTTATTATTATTTGTCCACTGGCCAAGAAGGGCGCTACCAGTTTTTCTTCCTCTTCTCCCTAGGGAAAAATTCGGACTGGTTACTCTGCTCTGGCTGCCGTCGGTAAAGCACGCGCTCACCTTTTTTTTCCGCTTCACTTAATGATTTTTACTACGTGGGCTTGCTAACTAAAAAAATGCTTATCGTGCAAACTGGATCAATGTGAACAGTGTATTAAAAATATATATCTTTTTTCTAGTGTAAATAAAAATGTTAAAAATCATCGAGCCAAGATATCATCGTTTATCTGCAGCAACCCAAAATGGCATCCATACGAAAGCCATGAAGGATTTCTATTGCAAGATCATTGCACATTTTTCTGTTAGTGAAACATTAAGGTTATCTACATCTTCTAACATTCTCGTCTCCTGAATTTCTTCAGATGTGCTTTTGTGGCTATATACAGTTGAAGAAGGGATTTCAGTTGCTGCAAGATCTTTCCAGTTTCTGTTAGTGAAAAGTTAGGTTATTTACATCTTCTGAAAACTTCTTATCCTAACAACCACTATATCATCAAAATGTACTTTTCCTTGCATTGCTTCTTTTCCTTCTCGTTTCCTAAGAATGGGGCCCCATCCCTTGACCGCACGGCAAAAAACCGCTGACACGGTAGTTTTGGCCCGAGTTCAAATCCCGCGAACGGACTGCTGCTGGCGTTTTCGTGTTTTCCCCATGGATCGTGTATACGACCAGTTTCCCTTAGAAGTCCTCCACGAAGGCATCCCTCCCCTTAGCAATAGTCCTGGTGCTTGCCGTATTCTCAATACACCTACACACCTACACCTCCTAAGAATGGCATCAATATTGGGAGTTTTGCTGCTTACCTCATTGACCAATGAGATTAGTAACTAAATGAATCAGTTTAATCAATAATGGCAAATATCACTTTATCTGCTCCCTTATATATTTACTAGATGTCAATAAATAGAAAATAACTGTTTATTTGTACGTAGTCCATAATAAAATAATACTCAATTGTCATTAATTTTTTTCAGTTCACTATTCATTTCAAATTCAAACTGTTCAACAAAAACTGGAGTCGGAGTCGACATGTTTTTTAGCGACTTCAACACCTTTTACCTAAAAATCTACCCGACTCCGATTCCGACTTCATGACTCTGACTCCACAGCTCTGTTAAAAAGCTTACTTAGAATCTCCTGAATGTTGGGAATCATCTTCCAATAGTTGGAAAATTAAGATGTTGTGCTTGTTGTGCACAAATGAACACAGAGAAAAGAACAAATATGAGTTGTCTAATGTTGGGTTATGTAAAGGATGCTTTATACCCTCTACCATACTTCCAGAATAACAGGTGGGCTTTCTGTTGTCTTCAAAATCCTCCAGCACAATTCAGTTGTTTGAGTATTAATATCATCTGCAAAACTGGCAAGTCTACAGATGGTACTAATGTTACTGCTGATGGTATTAAAAGAAATGGTTAAAACAAAAACCAGTTTTAGTGACACTTCCTAAAAAATAAATAATTAAATAAAATTGATAGATCACATTCCAATTCCTACCTCATTCCAATTATTCATTTATAGAGAAGTTCACAAAACCTAAAAACATTTTTATTAGGCTAAAAATATGTTCAGATAAATCAGGTTATTTTTCAAATCATGGTGGGTAGTCTGATTAACATATATTTATTATATTTATATTTTTTACTTTTCTATATTTTTACTCAGGCAGAAGAAGCAATTGATAGTTTCAGCTATGAAGAAGCCATATTAAAACTGACTGAAATATTAAGAATAGACCCTGTTCATGTCAAGTCTCTTGAAATGCTTGCTGGAATATATACAGAGCAACTTAATTGGTCAGAGGCACAAAATGTATCCTTTTTTTTTCCCCTTTCTTACTCTGTGTATATGTGTTTCTATATAAGAATTGGGCGGACATTTTTACAAGATGGATATAGAAATATGATTAAATTATTATCTAAAATTAGATCTGATTTTGATTTGAATTTCTTTTATTAAAAATGTAAGAATCTTATGCATTATAATGTGTAATTATTTTATTATCTGATAAATTCAGTATTTATGTGGGTGGGGAGGATAATTATAAAATGTTCAGAAAGAAATATAGCAAATTTATTCTCAAAACTTTAATATATTTAAAAACATAATCTTTTAAATACAGTATACAGACTGACAAACTTGCAGGGTGTATAGGGGGTACAGAGGCAACTCGTAATCACATAGGAATGTAGGATTGCAAATGCCGTTGTTGCAAACTATGGTGCAAAGAAGCAGAAAAAAAAGAATAGAAAGAGCAACACATCAATGGGACAGACAACATTTTATTGAAAGGTTGTACTACAACAGGTGTTCGAAATGATGACTAAAACTCATCTGGCAGGCCTTACAGTGGCGCTGCATGAAATTCCTTACATTCTGGAAACTTCCTCCCAGCAGTTTTGGGGTAGATGGTGCTGAATGGAAGATTGTGTGAACAACGATTCTGCTGGAAGTCGTCATTTGCGATCTGCTTCCCGAGGTAGTAGGATGAACGCGTATTGAAATGATGAACTGGTCGACATGCTGATTGTGAAAGAGCTGTCGATTGTAACATGCACGTCGCTTGGCACTTGTACCAGGAATGTTTCAAGAGTGTTTCTCAGTCAGCGTTTTGGACCAGCATTCTTGGAGACTATCTCATTGGATGGTACCATCTGCCCAGTCCTTTAGACAGCAGGGCATACCTGATCTTCTTGCAACAAGTCCTGCCCGAACATCTTGACACAGCACATGTTCTTCCATTGCTCTCTGTTGCACTACTCCATGTGATACCAGCATGATTGGCTTCTCCACATTACATGATTGATATATGCCGATATAACCTTTGGACAGTGGTAGATAGGTCGTGGTGGCCTGATTCATTGGCCTGCTAGGTCACCGGACCTGTCATGTATGCACTTCTTCTTCTAGGGTCACATGAATAGTTTGGTGTATGAGACTCCCGTTTCTTTATTTGATGACCTCGTCGCTCGAGTATCTGTAGCTGTTGGGGTATATGTGACATGCCAGGGATCTTCCAGAATGTAAGGAATACCATGCAGCACTGCTGTGTGGCCTGCCAGACATACTTCTAGTTGTAATTTCAAACACCTGTTGTAGTACAACCTTTCAGTAAAATGTTTTCTGTCCCATTAATGTGTTGTTCTTTTTTTCTGCCTCTTTGCACCTTAGCTTTTAATTGTGTGTTGTGTTAAATAAAATCTGTGATTTTTTGGATATTTTTCCATATATACAGTCAAAAGTCTTTAATCCGGACTCAGCGAGACTTTGGCGGTTCTGGATTATCAATTTTTCCGGATTATAGATTATCAGTTTAAATCTGGTAAGATGGCATGCAGAAATTATAAAATTAAAAGTATGAAACCGTAATTTATGAAATAAAGAGCAATTATGATGTAAAGTGTATAAAAATGTACAAAAAAGAAAAAAGCTTAATATTTAGTTGTTTACTTTATTCAACATTTCTTTCAACGCGCGCATGCGTAAGCAACATTACATAGAGCCGAAAATTAGAAAATTGCAACAGAAAACTATTTGATTGGTATACGTGATATTTATAATGAAGAGGAATTTGATTTAAATCACTACATTTAGTAAAGAATTATAAGCCAAACAAAATAAAAACATCTGCCCTGAAGATAAGGATAGTGCTGACAGATCAACTTCCAATTCATTGCGCGCCACGGCGTCCCCCCCCCCCCGGCAGAGCAGCGTGAAATTGGTAAGCAGATTTCGGAATAGTTAGAGAAACGAAGAATATGCCTTTATCCATTTTTTGCAGCAATTCCGCTTTTTGTTTAATGGACTTCGAAACATACTTTCACTTTGTAGATCCTTTACATATTAGTAAATATATCGGAAATTCTATTTGACATAATCGAAAGTTCAAGCTTACTTTTATAAAATTGCTCTAACAGTCTGCAAAAAATAATAAGCCGGATCCAATTCGAAGATTAAGGAACAATGCAATCTGCAACATTAACCGAATTAGATAATTTTAGCTTAGCTTATACCGTCCGTTATACATTAAACGCGCATGCATAAACGTATTATGCGCATGTACGCAGCCGTAAAAGTCTTATGCGCAGAAAGTTTGTAGCTTTGAGGTCCGGATTATAGATTATTCCGGATTATGGGAGTCCGAATTAACGACTTTTGACTGTATGTACCAGCTGCTAAAAATACCGAGGTGAACTGTATGTTTGCTGTGAATGAACTACAGAGTGGTGAACAAACTGTTTCACATGTCCCTGTGGATGAAAAGTCTGAAAGGACTGAATCTTCAGAATGTGATATGCAAAACATAAATATATCTGAGAACTGCAGTGGAAAAGTATTAACCTGGGTATATTTTAGTAAATAGACTGAGACTGAAATTCATTCAGAACTTTAATCTGTATAATTTAAAATTATGTGTTTAATTTGTGTATATAACTTGTACATAGTGTAAATATTTGTTTCTTTAGTTATGTAATTTGTTTGTTTTATAAAGTTTTGTTCGTACAATCAAAAGTCGTTAATCCGGACCTCAAAGTTAAAAACTTTCTGCACGTGCGCCGCGTTGACGCATGCGCATAGGCGTTTTACGCGTGCACGTAACACATTTACGACTGCACATATGTGTGTGCGCAAGCGCAGAATACGTTTTCGTGTGCACGTTTTATGTATAACGGACGGTATATGCTAAAATTATTTATTTCAGTTAATGTTGATGATTGCGTTGTTTCTTAATCTTCGAATTATTTCCAGCTTATTATTTTTTGCAGACTGTAAGAGCAATTTTATAAAAGTAAACTTGAATTTTTGATTATGTCAAATAGAATTTCCGATACTGGAGCTCCCAAAAGGATCTACAAAACGAAAGTATGTTCCGATGTCCATCAAACAAAAAGTGAAATTGCATCAAAAAATGGATAAAGACATGAAGAATGTGACAGAGAGGTTAGTGAAAACGAAAAATTTTCGATTGACAAGTTTAGTCGGTATTCTCACCATCAATTACGGGACTTGACAGCGGAACTTTTGTAACTGAACAAGAATTATGTCTGTTTATACATTAGAGAAAGTATTATCTCATAAATGAAGCAACTTAACAACTTTATTGAAAGAAATGTTTAATAAGTAACAAAAATTTAAGCGATTTTTTTTCCTATTTTTATACCCTTTAGATCAAATTGTTCTTTATTTCATAAAGTACGGTTTCATAGGGTAATTTTAGATTTCTCTGCCATCGGACGAGATTTAAACTGATGATCATATCCGGAATCACCGAAGTCCCGACGACCCGGATTAAACGACTTTTTGACTGTATTTTGCTTCTGACAAGGGTTGTACGCCCGGGCTGCAGTCTTGGGAGGGGCGTGTTACGAAATGTACAGGTGCAGTAAGATGGCTTCCACACAAAGTAGTTTTAGGGTTGCCATAAAATGGTAAAGGAGGGCAGGGTTGCCACATTTGATGAGAAATCACCCATTTGGTGACAAAATTAGCGATATCCCATGGACAGATGGAGAATTTTCTGGAACAAATTCTTACCAGTTTAGCCCAGAATGTTCTCGAACACAAGCCGAAAGCTGTATAAACCCTGCTGCTCTGCAGTCAGGTTGAGAGTGCGCCTTGTCTAGCGAGCCGTGCGGACTCGATCGAGTTGACAGCCGGGCCACGAATGCTGAGTGGGTCGTCGAATGCACCGAAGGAGTCTCTTAGAATATTGCGGTTAGTGCATTGTCAAGAGAGCGTGTTGAGCTCCGGGAACGACTGAACTGAAGAGTCGGGAGCTGTGCTCATGTGTTGTCGAGTGCATCACAAGTTGTGTGGAGAGTCTCGAGAGTATGCAGGATTTCCGAGAACGACCATGCAGAGTCGGGAGCTGTACTCCGGAAAGCAGAGTCGGATGCTTTGCAGGAAGCTGCCTCCATCGTTATTGCCTGACAGTGTGAAGGCTGTGTTGCTGATTGTTCCAGCATGTTTATAGTAGATTTCCAATGACTGTAAAAAGTATTATTGGAGCTGTTCTGATTAATATTGGTTAAATAAAGTGTGTTTCAATACTTCATCAAGTGTCGTCGTTATTCACTCCAAATCTATGAATCCCGTACGAACGTCTAATATAACGTAACAACTGACAGAAGCAGGAAGAGAAAATATCGTAACAACATAAAGTCTGGATGTCCGGTGTCTGGAATGATCTAATATCCAGACCCCCAGGCCACTAATCCAATAATTAAATAAATGTATAAATGAAATTAAAATATTGAGAAAAATTGTCTTTCCTGCTGACAAAACCTAGGAATAGAGAAATTAATTCTTCACAAAAGAAGACAAGTGTGCTAAAAATGTGATTTTCCTCCCCACTAACTGAAATTCCCTGCAGGCATGTCACTTTCAAACGCTTGCTGGTTAGGGTGTGGCGTTATGGACAATGGCAATGAATTGATAATTCTTTCAGTTTTTGAGTAGGTTTGAGGGGGTTAGCAATTTTCTATCTGACCTGAACAATAAGTGAAGTCACAATGTTGTCACGTCTGCATGTCATTTCTAGATTTAAACTAATCTAAAATCTGGAAATTTCCAAAATTAAGAATTGCCGATGTCCTGGTTATTCCAAATATTAAACTTTATACTGTGTACACAAAATTACAAAATACATGTTTAAAAAAGAAAGATATTGTTTTTGTTTTTAGATCTTATATAAAACTGGTCTTATTATAGAAGTATAAAAAAAAGTTCACCTATTAGACTTTCATAGATGTGAAGAGGTTTTATTGATTAACAAATATGAAAAAATGTCCCTGGTACTTCTTAGAGCAAAATCATTTAAATTACAGTATAAATATGGTTTCTCATTTTTTTAGAACCACATTAGCAAGCCCTGCATGCCTAATTTAGTGAGTACAGGTTTAATAATTATAGGCAATTAGTGAAGTAAAAAATATGCAAGTTTAAACTTTAAGTATCTGATTAGAAAAAAACACATTGCGTTATATAATTTTTAATAAATAAAAATATAAAAGTTACTTATCAGATGCAAATTGGTAGTTTTCAAGACTGTTTAATAAAGCTTTTCAAACTTTTGATATTGTTATAAAATGTCCAGGTGTGGTAAGATACCTTTCCTGCAAAGCAAGTTTAGGGTTGTCAGAAAATGGCAATGGAAGGCTGGGTTTGCCACATTTGGACAAAAAATCGCCCATTGGCGACAAAATTGGTGGTATGCCATAGACGGATGGAGAACCTTCTGGAACGAATTCTTACTGGTTTAGCCCAGAATGTTCTCGAACACAAGCCAAAAGCTATATAAACCCTGCTGGTATGCGGAGAGTCAGTCAGTGGAGTTGACATTTACTCAGTGAATTGCCAAGTTGGTTGTTGAGTGCATCGAGAGAGTCTCTTAGTAGATTGCAAATCAGTGCATTGTCGAATTTGATCTTAGAGTGTGTTGAGTGAAAACGACTGAACTGAGAACTCGGGAGCTGTACTCTGTTGTATCGTGAGTTGTAGCGTGGAGAGTCTCCAGAGTGTTAGAAGTTCTGAGAACAACCGAGCAGAGTCGGGAGCTGTACTCTGGTGCTTTGCCATGAAGTTGTCTCCACCGTTATAGTCAGATTGCCTGAAGGCTGTGTCACTGATTGTTGCAGCGTGTCTTGGAGTTATTTTTGAGCTGTTCTGAAAAATACTGGCCAATAAAGTGTGTTTTGATAGTTCATCCAGTAGTGTCATTGTTATTCACTTCAAATCCGCACAAACCCCATAAGTATGTAATGTTAACAAAGGTAGAAAAAAACGTAATAATATTTATCATAAGTTGTCAAATATTATCAATATATGAAAAGAAAACATTGTTAACAAATTTAAAATACAAATTTAAATTATTAAGTAAGGATTACATGATAAAATAAAATAAAAAAAAAAAAACACTTTTCCAAATCTTTCTGTTACTTTTTTTTTTTTTTTTTTTTTTTTTGTGTGTGTGTGTGTGTGTGTTTTCTTCTCTTCAAGTATATAACAATCTGTTTTTGCTTTGAAAAACATCAGAGCATTGCAGAGATTTGGCATCATGCAAACATTGGCTATCTATCAAACACATCTCCTTATTTTTCCCTTTAGAGATTCTGTGGCAGAGTTGTGTTCCTTCAGTTTCATCAGTTGCTGGCAGGTGTCACAAGTGTATTTAAAAATTACATCTAGGGCAACAAAATGTCGCAATTTCTCAATAAAAAGTGTCTGAACTTGGAATATAACAAAAAGAATTGCAACAAAAATACAACAAAAAGAACGCATACAGAACTGGTGACATTGCTGGACTGAAGGACTGTCATGAGCATGCTTGACTGAAGAATGGTTATGAGCGTAGTTACCAATGTTTGACATGTTTTGAATATTTGGCGACTTCTTCTAAGGTAATTGTGATAACACATAAGTACAAAAGTTTTTAACACTTGATTTATGGGATCCTTTGACAGATTTCAGATTTTATGAGCAAAATTATAAAAAACTGTTATTTTTATAGTTTTTTAATTTATGCTGACAATTATCAATGTAATGAGGTGAATATATATCCAAATTTATTTCTGCCTCAGAACTTTAATTCCAAAGTTCGGTATGAAGTATGCCTATGTCTATGGATACCCATCAAAGTGACGTATGAGCTAGTTTCATAGTTAATGGTAATAAACCAGTTTTGAAATTATTTTCTGCTGAAAAATATGCTGAAAGTAGTTAGAATGTAGGTACTAAATAAAAATCATAATTCAAGGGAAAAATCTTTCAATAACTTCGAGCCCAATATCAACACACTGTGGTGTGCCAGAGCCTAAGCCTCAATTTTACATGCCTAAAGTATAAACATAAAACTATAAGCTCAAGATTAAGTAACAATATGCAGTGCTTGAGTGTCAGTCAATGTGTCAAGACTTTTTTGAAAAAGTTTTAGTTAATGCGAGTAGATACCGAGAAGAAAGTAGTAGATTATAATAAGTATTAGCATTATCATCATAAAATTAGAGGAAAGTACTATGTACTTTTATTTTATTCTGAAGAAATACCTTTCTGTAGTCATCATGAGTAATTCAAGAAGAGATACTGAACCACTAGAGAGAATAGTTAGTATCAGCAAAGATTGCTGTAATGCAAACTCTGGTCAGTCTGTTAACACTAAAACTACGGTAACTTTTTTTCACATAAAAAACTACAAATTTGTTAAATTGATGGTTATCAGTAGTTCTAGTGTTAAGATTGTAAGTATTTAAAAACTAAATTAATAAATTTAAGAAAATACATGGTTTTCTATTGTAAGTATTTAAAAACTAAATTAATACATTTAAGAAAATACATGGTTTTCTATTTTCATGGGTGTCTGTAAATATAGGTATAAAAAATGTCCTTAAACCTAGTGTTAAGACTGAAAAGTTTATTCAGATTTTTTTCTTCGTATAATTTACTAGATTTAATATTGAGGAAAATGAAGTACAGTACAGAGGAAAATGAAGTCTTTAATCCAGACTCGCCGGAACTTTGGCGATTCCGGATTAGGGTTTTTTTCCGGATTATAGATCATCAATTTAAATCTGGTAAAATGGCATGCAGAAATTATAAAATTAAAAATATGAAACCGTAATTTATGAAATAAAGAGCAATTATGATCTAAAGGGTATCAAAATTTACAAAAAAAAAAAAAAAATTATTTGTTTATTTTATTAAACATTTCTTTCAATGTAAGTTGTTTAGGTTGCTTTGTTTTATGTGCTAATACTTTCTCTTTAATTCTATAAACAGACATAATTTCTTGTTCAGTTACAAAGTCCTGCAGTTGCTGTGCTGAGTTGCGCTGAGTTGTGTGACCGACTAACTTGTCAATCGACATTTTTTCGTTCTCACTAACCTCTCTGTCACTTTCTTCATGCCTTTATCCATTTTTTGCAGCAATTCCAATTTTTGTTTGATGGAAATCGAAACATGCTTTCGCTTTGTAGATCCTTTGGCAGCTCCAGAATCGGAAACTCTTTTTGACATAATCAAAAGTTCAAAGCTTTAGCTTTCATAAAATTGCTGTAATTATAATAAGTCCTGCAAGAAAATAATAAGCCGGATCCAATCAGAAAGATTAAGGAACAACGCAATCTGCAACATTAACTGAAATAGATAATTAGATAATTTTAGCCTAGCTTATACCGTCCGTTATACATTAAACGCGCATGCGTAAATGTATTACGTGCATGTGCAGAAAGTTTATAGCTTTGAGATCCGGATTTTAGATCATTCCGGATTATGGACGTCCGAATTAAAGACTTTGTGCTGTATATTCATGAACCTAATTCTATGTTTTATAGTATAAGATTTAAATTTTTTTTTGTGAAAATGTTTATCTCAATTTTTTAATCATATGCAAAAATATTTATAATTTGTATAGCATTCATTTTTTTGGGATGATTTTGCTATAATAATTAAGTCAAATAAATGATTAAAATTGAATCAGCATAGATTTTTAAAAATATTTTCTGTATAAATTTTTGCATTTATGTATTATTATTTTGTTAATATGCAGGATATTTTAAAACTTTATGTATAGATTGTAAAGGGAGGTAGAGAACATCAATATGAACTTACTCATGTAGGAAAGTATAGTTCAACTGCCTTATTCGCGACCATGAGCACAAACACGCATGCACCATTTTGACCAAATTATTCTCAAAATAGTGTGGAAGGATGGGGACTTTCTTTCCCTCCAGCATAACTCTTTCTGGAGAAGAGAAGACCTTTCACATCGCAACAAGTAATACTGCCCCTTTTGGACAAGTCTATGTGTTTTGGCAGAATGCTTAACCAGGGTTGCTCTTGAGACAGTCAAACTGTAGAACTGGAATCACAGTGAAAATTGCTGTAAGGGATATAAGAAATAATCCTTTACAGCAAACGGCACAAGACAGACAGTACGAGAAAATTTTGTTATGCATAATGTAATAGTTTAATGGTGAATACATTAAATGATATAACAGTAGATGCTGTAAGCTAGCACCATTAGTGATGATTCATGTCTTTTATCAACACTGTGTGCATTGACTGCCAGATAAACTTTGAATTTCAGTGATACTAGCAGAGGAGGTGGTGATGCTGGCCACAAGATCCATGTCAGACACAGGTTTTGTTGTGACATCATTTACTGTATCCAGTATTTACATTGAACTGTTTATTGCATTAGCTGTAAAAAAAAATCCTGTGAATGACTGTCTTGTGTCTTTTTTGTATCTTGAATCTCTTTCAGTGGTATGTTTGGTCATGTATTCCTATGTTAATATGCTTTACATTGATGTTTCTCTGCATTCCTTGAAAGTTTGGAGTTTTGGGATGACTGCTATGTATTTTATATCACAGTAAATATATATAAAAGCAAAAGACAACTATATTTTTATATGAACATCGTTCTTTGATTAAAAAAATAAAAATGGTGTCTCAGGAAACTTAGATCTCATATAATATAGGTTGAAAGATATATATTTTTTAATATATATATAATAATTTTTTTTCAGTTAATATAAAGTTTATTAGTTATTATAGGATGAGTAAAATAGTATGAACTTTCTACATACTGAAAATAGTAACATTAAAGTCCTTTTGTTTGACAGTTATTCTTCTGCATTTTGTATTTTTGTTTGATTTATTTTATTTCATGAATAATTAATTAATTTCTTAGTTATATATTTTACTTAACATTTTGTAGCTTCTTAAGAAGTGTATAGAATTATCCCCAGATAATGGCTACACAAAATATTTTTCTATGGGTCAGCTTTGTGAAGGTGAAGAATCTGTACTGTATTATAAGAAAGGAATTCAGATTATTGAAAAAGAGTTGGAAAATGCTGAAAATGTTGACCCATCTGAAGTAATATGCTCTTTGTTAATTATATGCAGCATGTTTACAAAAAACGGAGTTAATGACTTTTTGTCCTTGTTAAAAATTGGTCTTATATTACAGTACAAAGTCCGTAATCCGGACATCCATTATCCGGAATGATCCATAATCCGGAACTCAAAGCCACAAATGTTTTTGATGTGAAGTATATATTCATTGAGAGATGATGAAGCAATCAAAATGTCATCTATATAGACGAAACAGATATTTAAATCTGACAGAATTTGATCGAGTAATCTTTGCATGGTTTGCGCAGCATTACGTAAACCAAATGTCATGTAGTTGAACTCAAATAATCCGAAAGGAGTAACTATTGCCGTTTTTGGTATGTCCTCTTTATTCATGGGTACCTGGTGATATGCCTTCTTGAGGTCTAATGTTGAAAAAAACAGTTTTGTAGCCCAAATTAGATGTAAAATCATGTAGATGTCTAATTGGATAATTATCTGGAACAGGGATTGAATTTAATTTACGGTAGTCCCCGCAAGGCCGCCAAGACCCATCCGTTTTTTTTTACCATGTGGAGAGGTCTACTCCAGGAGCTTTTAGAAGGACTATAAATGCCTTTTTGCACTAAATAAGTGACTTCTGCTTTTGCGGCAGCCAATTTGTCCCTTAGCTGCTACTGGATAACCTTTGGTTTCGATTACGTACATAATTCCAAGAGTATTGTTATCCAAAGGCTGTTTTAAGACATCTTGAAACAGAGAATCATATTTTTAAAGTAAATCATTAAACACATGTAAATGGTTGTAAAACTGTAATTTTGGGTACAGTATCCCGTGATATCTTGCCATCTGACTCAACGTTAGTCATGCTGTCAATTAATTTTTTGGATTTCAAATTAACAATAATACCATAATTACTTAAAAAGTCTGTGCCCAAAATTTACTATTGCTAATGTGAAACATTAGTAAAAGTCCATGGAAAAATTCGGTGTAAACCTATGTCTAAATTGACTAAACGTTTTCCATATACAACAGTTTTGGTACCATTTGCTGCAGTTAAATTGAGCAATGATGTGGGTTTACGTTTTGTGAAGTAGGAGGCAAAACAGACAATTCAGCACCTGTGTCAACCAAAAAATGTGTGCTTAAAGATTTTTCATATACAAGGAGGTGACAATTATTTTGGCCTATGGCGTTCGTCACCACACACGCGTAGCCGTCTAGTTTTCCGATTTAAAAGTGAAAGGTTTGTTGCATTTAATGGCTTTTTGGCCAAACTTGATGTGGTACCAACACATGAATATGTTTTCGGTTTGTTTATTCGTGGGCAAAGATCTAGATCTAGAATTAGAATGACCACGAGAATACAATATAAAAAGTTTATCTACTTTTTTTATTTAAATCAGGTATTTGTTTCTGTAAATTATCTAAAGCTTCACTTGTATCATTAGATTTAGTTACTTTCGATTTCACGTCCATCGCATGAAGCTAGGTAGGACTTGTGATGTTAGAGATTTTGTCAGCCGTAGCTGCGAATTTTTTAAGTTCGATATCAGAAGAGGCCAATATGGCTTGCATCTGGGCTGGAAGGCGTTAAAGCCACAATGATTTTAGTAATTCAGTTCTGACGAGAAGTCCAGCAGTTCTTGCATTTGTCGGAGTAAAACAGATGGGCGTTTGTTGCCTAAATCAATGTCTCTCAAAAGTTTTTTTAAATTTTTGTTCTTCAGAATCAGAAAATACTTCAATTAATCTTTTTTTAAGAGTGTCATAAGCATCAATAACTGGAGGAGGATCAATTATATCACTTACCTGACTTAAGATGTGAGTCTCAATGTGGCCTACCACTATATGGTATTTTGTGATATCAGTAGTTATCCCACTGTTAAAGAATTGGCTTTCAATCTGGCGGAACCAAATACTTGGATTATCTTTCCAAAACAGCGGTACTAACTGAGATTCTGCTGATTTCAGGTGCTTGCATTGAAACGATAGTATCGTCCGTAATAGACATGTTCGAACGATTAAAAACGTGTTCTTAATGCCGTAGTCACCAATTTGGGGTCTGATTAATGGCTAGACACCCAATTTAGAAAATTAAATTCTTTAATTACTCAAACTATCACATGGCAATAAATAACAGGAATCTCAGCGATGAGTTAAATGCGTACATGCACTACTAAAAACAGAAGTCGAAAGTTCTCTTTTGCAGTCACGCATGCGCGAAGAGAAAAGCTCAAAGCGCCGAAGAAATGTGTGTGTGGGGGGGGGGAAGGTAGCCCCGCAAGTAGTAATAAGACAGTAGGAAATAAAGACAGAAGTTTTTTTTAAATATATATAAACACTGTAATATTATTTATAATCACATACCAAATTCTCTACAGTTAATTCAAATTTGTAATTTTTCCCTAATTAGTTTCTATCATCTTTTATGAAAAAGGAATTTTATAATTATGGATGCAACAGTTCTTAAATTGTTCACATGCCTAACGTTTTGGCTATCCAGCTGCTGGATGTTTGAAATTCTGTGTAAAATGTATTGAAATTAATGAGCAACTCTTTTATCATATGCTGAATGCATTTGCGTATGTAAATAGCAGTAGAAGAAATGAAGACATGTAGAATGTGTGACATGTAATAAAGAAAACTGAGGGGAAAATACTTAGTTTTTAACTATTCATAGCTAAAATTATATATAGTTAAGAAAAACTGTGTTAGTCATAGCCTTCTGGTCCTAGTAGCTGTCATTGAAAAATTTTGTATTATGAATATGTGATGGTGTCAAAGTTACATATCATATTTACTTGTAAATTATTTAAGCAAACAATGGTATAAGTTATATAGACTGGATTGTGAACATTACTTTTATATGAAATGTATTAAGAAATGGGTTCAAGGTTATAATGAAACTAGATGTTCAGTATCTCAAACTAAGAATGCATTGAGATGATATAATGTTCTAAAGTAGTGATTTATGAAAATTGAATGATGACGATGATGATGAACAACAGTGGGGAAAGCATAGATGAGTAAGTTTAGGAAGAAATGGTTTAAGAACTAGGAAGAAAGAAAAAAAAAAAAAAAATGCATAGGAATAGAGTGCGAGAGAAGGGAAAAAAAAAAGGAATTCTTTTAATGAAAATTTTTATGTATATACTTTTGAAATAATTACTAAAAATAGTAGTTCAAAGTCATTTATTTTGGAGATCATTTCAGTTGCTGAAAGAAATAAACTGACTCTGTTAAAGTATGAATTTACTGCTGAAACCATGAAAGATATTTTGAGTGGAAACAAACATCTCTGAATGAAATTTGTCATGAAGCAGCAATGAATATTTTACCCTCATTAATGGGGGAAAAAAAAGAAGCAAATTCCTATCTAAAGTTCTTTCAAAAGAAGTACAGGATTATCAAAATAATGAAAATGGAAAATTGTACTTTTATTAATGAAATCGGTAAATCTTTTTGGAATCATTTTCTAGGATTAATTAGTTTGAAGTGCTTTGGTTAAGAACCACTTAACCTACACATCATAAAAATAAAACAGTGACAAGAATTAAGAGAAAAAATATATGATAGATGTTAAGGAAAAAATAAAGAGGAAGTGAACATGACTTAAAGTTTTCTAAGTACTAATTCTTAATTACTATTTCAGGATATCTGTCCCTCTCTATATGAGTATATATATATTTATTAATTTATATATATGTAATAAATTCAAACTCAGAAGAAACAGTCCAGCTAAGGCAAAGCGTAGAAATATTAATTTTTAAATAAATAATTTTTTAACAAAATGAAAACTGGTTAAACACTAGTATTGTGATATCTGGCCACTGGTAAATATTTGACTTCTAAGTTAGGCAATAGATCTTTGCTAGATATCCATTACATTCCTAATTATTGTAGATTGAAGAGTTATTATTATGTTTTATGTTTAAAACTCTTTGAAATTAAATTTTTTTTAAAAATAGTTGCATAATATCATATAGCTATATACTTGCATGCATTTTACTTTTTCCCAAAATTGTAGAAAATTACTAGGAGTTCTTTGCTAAAGAGTCTCTCTGATGCATATTGTTCTGTAGCTGAATTATTTATGACAGATTGTTGGTGAGTAACTTCAGAAATCATTCATTACAAATAAAATGTGATGAAATGAACTTTTGTATCCGTCTTAATTAGACGCACTTCATTTTTTAAATATTTTATATTACTGCTTATTTTTAAAAAACTTCTCATTTTATATAGCTGTGGTCTTACCTTGTAGGCAACTGTTCATATCTTTAAAAATCATTATTAAGGAATGTTATACAAATTTCTTAACCCTCTCAGCGTTACGGCCGGAAAATTCAACTTAGAAGGCTGCCTTCTATATTCATTATACATGAAAATTTCTGCTAGTTTTTAATGTATCTGATTTCAGTTTGGATGTATATTGGAAGAAAAGGAATCAATGTACTAAATGAGAGAGTCATTTTTTTAACTAAAATCAAGAAAATACCACTTATTCATGACATTTTGAGGAACTTTGAAATTTCAGGACTAAACCTGTAACGCTCAGAGGGTTAATTTTAGTTTTGTGTCATTTATATAATTTCTTAATTTTAAAATTAAGGAAAAAGCATATTCCATTTTTAAGATTATTATTTTAATATCATATTCAGTTGATGATTTATTAAAAGGTTACTTAAAGACTAAAAATAAAAATTATATTAAAAGAGATTTTTTTTACCCCTCTGACTAAAATCAAAATCATCAAAAACAGCGGTTCTCAACCTTTTGACTAACACGTACCATCTAAACGAAAATTGAAAACCTTTAGTATCACCACTACGAAGTACTACTACCACCAGCACTCTAGTTACAAAGCTTAGATCGCATAAATATATGAGTGTTAGAGGACAAAACTCAATCAGGATGTTGAGGTTTTAATTTTTAAATTTAATAGTTAAAAATAGTTTGCTTCTTTGCATACTACCTATTTTTCTCTTGTATGCCATCAGTGGTATGCGTACCACTGGTTGAGAACTCCTGATCTAAAAAAAAGTCATACAAAAGCAGAACTGAATACAATTTATTTAGATTTGGAAAGATGTATTTTAATAATATTCAATGTATGCAACTAGGAATTCTCAAAATAGGTATATAACTTTTCTTTCAGATATTTTTGTTCTGATATTGCTAATATAATCTTTTTGATTTTATTACTGTAAAATAAATATTTTCTTATAATCTCATTAATGCTAAAATTATCTTTTGGTTTTGCTGAAAATGCTGAAGGAAAACATTGTGGATCAGTGAAGCTGCCATAAAAGCAGATCCATCAAATTCTGAAGCTTACCAGTGTTTAGCCAATTTTTATCCTTTAGAAAAGCATACTTTATTTAGATTAGGAAAGATGGATTTTATGCTTTAATAGTGTAATTTACTAATTTCATAGAATCTTTCTGATTGTATTAATGTAAAACAAATATTCTCTTATAAGTTAATGCTAATGACAAATTTTAGTTTTGCTGAAAATGCTGAAGGAAAGTGTTATGAATCACTTGAAGCTGCCATAAAAGTAGATCCATCAAATCCTGAAGCATACCAGTGTTTAGCCAATTTTCATCTTGTAAAAGAGCAAATTAAGGTAAACAACATTTTATGTAATTTTTGAAATTAGTATTTATGTTTAAAAAAACTGTTGCCTTCAGAGTGCTTAAGCTAACCATGCAAAATATTGAAAGATAATAGCAACAAAAATAACTGACCATTGAACATGGTGAGGGTTTAATCTTTGACACTCACAAATAGATGTATAAAATTTTTACTCCTGAAGATTCTATTGATTGGAAGTCTTAGCAATAACAGAAATACTTTCATTTGTGTCTTATAATCAAAGAAGAATATGTTTTTCCTCTTTATTTTTAGTTTCTCATAAAGTACCAAAAGTACCAGCAGAATTTAATGAAATTTCCTATAGATTCAAAGTAATATAAGACATGCTATGCAACAGTGAAATTACCAATTTTCAATGTTGTGTTGATCATGAGTTTTGATATTGAGAGCAGTAATGGCCAAAACTGACATTATTTTGGACATTCCTGCAATGATCACCTCTTAACATTATTTTGGACATTCCTGTGATCACCTTTGCATAGGTGCACAATGAATCTTCATCCTGTAAAAAAGGTAGTTGCTGACTCTTTGTGACCGTTGCACCATGCCCATGGCAGATCAGTTTATAGCTCCTGAATAGTTCTTGGAAGGATTGCAGAATTAAAGATGTCCTCCAAAGTGTCCTCCAGCATACATAGTTAGGTTCAGGTATGGAGATCTGCCTGGCCAATCCATCTGCCGAATATCCTTACCTTAAAGATAATTTCCCCACCATTTGAAACCTAAATAGACAAGCGTTGCTGTCCATAAAAATGAGCTGAAAGCTAGCTCGCTCCCTAAAAATCATATATAAAGCTGTAAGATCTCCTGTGTATAACCTCTGAGCAGACAGGAATTTTTTGTTAAATACATGGAGTATGATGCAACCATCTAACATGAAGCTTGCCCAGCTCATGACATCATTAACAATAAGTAGTCCTTTTCCATGATACTGGAAGAATGTTATTAGATTTGCTGGTTCTACCTTATTAAAAGTACATTAAGAATAAGTGAGTAGGCTGAATGTAGACTCAGCTCTGAAAAGAAAGTGGACCTACTGTACCCAGAGCTGATTTTTTTTTCACCATGCCAAGTATAGTTTCTCGTGTGAGGAATGAAGAGGGTGAAAACAATAGGTCTCTGGCATAAAGCTTAAGGAAATTAAGGTTTTAGTAACAGCAGAGTGTTCATGAGAGAATTGTAGAGTTATACCTGTCCTCTGGCATTTAATAGAAAATACCAAGTATTGATTTTCTTTTGGCTCTGGGCTTTTTCATGGCTCTGCAGGTCTTCAGGATGTGGTATTCTGAAACTGTTTCTACAAATTGTGAGTGATAGTAGGCAATCTATATCTGGGGTTGTCTTACTTCCAAACTGACATATGTACATTGGGACGTAAATAGTCTGCTCAAGGATATATGATGCTTTGGAGAAAATTCTCATGGGCATTCCTAGAACCTCTGATTGTTTTAGAGAATACCATGACAGTAGCAGATTACGTGAATATTGCTCACCAGTTTCACCTTTTTGTGGCTTCTGTCTTTTTTTGCCCAGAATGAGGAAACATTTCATTAGAAAACATTCCTTATCACATGCCTGGAATTATGCTGGATTGATTTTGAAGAATAAATAATTCTAAATTCTTTTTGGTGTCCTGACCTCTTAACTTGCCAGATGTAAATTTAATTGAGCATATCTGAGATATTATGAAGCCGAGCTCAAAGCTCATAATATACCTTCTCATATCATGTATTTGTGATAATTGTGTGACTTCTGCAAAAATTCTGGAACAATCTTCCTCCTTAGGATTTGTAGAATCTATGCCATAATGGGCTGCAGCTGTTTTATATACCAAAGATGAAACAACATGCTATTAAGGAGAGAGATCATTTTTTGACTGCTAAATTGTATGAGTATGCTGTTTAATCTCATCTCTCTTTCTCTCTCTCTTTTTTTTTTTTTTTTTTTGAGGAGGGGGGGGCATTTTCTTCTTACTGAGTAATTTTTATGGAGTGTATTAGCAACTTAATGTTCATTACATTTCTATATTTTGTATTGCAGCTTATAGTATGCATCTTTCATTTTATTTTTACTTGTTGGGCAAATAATGTTTCCATTTTATTTTTAAAGATTATTTTTGTTTCTTATGAATTAATTCTTAAATTCTTTAATTCTTATGAATTCTTTCTTTAATTCTTATGAAATACATTAAAATTATCAGTATGTTAAACAGTATAGGTTTTGTAGATTTTTAGCATTATGTATATATATATAATAGGAAGAAGTTTAGAAGTACTGATAAAGGAACACTGTCACATATAAATGCAGAACTGCTACACTAAACGATAGTGCACATAACTCAAAGCACATTAAACAGAGATAGATGACCTTGAACCCACTGTAATGGTGAATCTCTTGTTCATTAATACACTTTTTTCCCCTATAAATATAGTAGAGGTGGCCAAAATAAATTTTGCTCTTCATTTTCACTAGACATTAGAACTTTCGGACTTGGAGAAATGCAGACACATTTATTTGATTTTTGTTAATATTTTATCAAAATCCAGTTAGGGAATAAATTTTCCATTAAGGCTTGTAGCTTGTGGTCCACTCCTTTTCGATTAATTTTGATGAAAAGAGAAAAAAAGATAGTAATGTTGATGGCATAGAATGTAGTTCCATACTCAAGAGGAAACACAGCAGCCGAGTAAAATCAAGTATTCAACTTTATTTCAATCGACATTTTCAGCCACAATATCAAATGTCATGAATATGTAATAGAAAATTTTGGTGTTATATTGATAACAATAATTTTTACAAGACTTTCAAGAAAAGAATTGTAAAATATTATGATATTCAAGCAAAGATTTTACAAAACTGTGAACTTTTAGTTATTTATTAAAAAGATTTGGACATTCCTTAACATCATTTTAACATAAAAAATGAAATTGCAGACTTTCAAAATTTCAATAGAATATTCAAATTCTGTTTATTATTAAAAATGATACCAACAAGATTTTGTTATTTAAAAATATTATATAGATCAAAATTTTATGATTTTTTCCACAATTGTATTTTTCTTATTTCACTAATGCTTTTATGCTTTCTTTTAAAAAGGCTTTTCTGTCGCCAAGCCTTTTGCTCTTTCAAGGGGGAGTTATGTAAGATAAAAAAATATGTAAATCAGCTTTATAATTTAATCTAGTAAAAGTCTCTTAATTCTTCAATTTTAATTTGTGTGTTTCCTCTCTGTATTCTAAAGATAGTAATAACTTTTCTAGACTGTATCATTTCGAGATCAGTTTATGTTACAGGGCTTGTATAACATTGATGACGTAGTTCATCAATGTTATGCAAGCCGTGTAACATAACATTGATGACGTAGTTGATTCAAAACCAGAACTCATTTCTAGAACTGAAACTTTTCTCTTATAGGCAGCCTAAACTAAAACCTTTTCTTGGTGAGTCTCCGTACTGGATAATTATGCACTTTACCTTCTACTTTTGTTGCTGTTAAGATGTAACATCCTTTATTCTCTTCCTATTGTAGCAGTATAAAAAATGTAAATGTTCTTGAATAGGTGTGTTGTGCTAAGTATATTGTGGCTTCAAATGTGAGTTGAAATAAAGTTGAATATTTAATCTTACTCGACTGCCAAGTTTCCTCTTCAATATGGATCTACATTCTACGCCATCAACATTCATTATTATGTCTTTTTCTGTTTCCATCACACACGCGTTGTGTGCATATAATTTTGTAACAGAGTAATTGCACACAGAATTGATGATAGCTTGATAAAATTTATTTTACTAAAAGGAACATTTCACAGTTCTGAAACTTATCACAAAAATACTCTTACAGCTCTTCACAATATCACAGAGTACAGTCAGTAATTGCACTTAAACTACTAAGAATATTAAACACAATGCAATGCAAAACGCATTTAAAGAGCAAAGCTTGCACGGAGATATCTCGATACTTCAAACTCACATTGAAACTAAACAACTACTACTACTGAGAAACTGATGCTGTCCTTGGTCTTATATAGTTTTCTTCTGGCCACTGAGAGATTTATAATAGCTTTCACTTCTCAAAATTACTGGAAGACATATGAAGGCCAGATATGGTTAAATGCATCAAATATAGTTATTTAGTTACAATACCCCTTACGGTTATATAAGCCCCGTTCACATGCAACTTTCTTTTGCACAGCCACCGTTTGTATTAGGGAGAAATGGGGGTATGAAGCAGTTTCGCTTTCAGAACCGATTCAGATGCACTTCGTCTTCCATCCCTTAACCCTATAAAAAGGCACTGTGAGCAATGAATGATGTCATAAACACGAATCGGATTGGCGGATTTCTAACATTGACTCACATCTTTTTTGACATTGTTTATTATTGCTATAGAATGCCATCGGAGTTTAACTCTCTAATTAATTAAAATACTCCTAAATTAATTTAAAATGCAATTTATATACGAGACCAAATGGTTAAAAGAAGAAAAGAGATCAAATATGCTGCCAAATGGTTTTAAATGAAATGTTATCTGTCTGTTAAAATTTCAAACTTTGCTTTTGAAAAAATGAATAAAACGACAAATTAATATTATTAATATTAATTATAAATGTTTTAATATTGATTATAAATGTTATAGAAAATATATTATAATTAATTCATCAGGGTTGCCACGCTACCTGAAAAACCGGGAGAAACGAAAAAGTCAGGGAATTCGGAAATTGACCAAAAAATTCAGGAAAAGTCAGGGAATTTAAGTATTTTAGTCAAAATCTGGAAAAATCAGGGAATTTCATACAACGATCTCACCAAAAAAAGCGAGTTTTGCGCAGACATCGGAAGAGATAACTTTTTTGGCGAATTGTGTAGCATGTGAGTGTCATTCGGGCAGCTGGCATAGAGCCAATTTTTAGCAACTCCAATTTGATTGCCTTTTAGAAAGGCAAAGCAAGTTTCCCGCAACTTTTGGTTTCCTATAACTTCTAGAATCGAGAGAATCACATGTGCAGTGCATGAACTAAAGAAAGTACCTGTTCTCATATAAAACAAAATGGGTTTAATCCTAGTATACTGTACCATGGAGGTTAGAAACAAAGAATATGTATTGTAAAGAAGGAAAACGTCTCTGCAACAGACGTGGCTCCGTTCCATCATAGGGGGAAACAGCTGTAAAATATTATGATATTCAAGCAAAGATTTTACAAAACTGTGAACTTTTAGTTATTTATTAAAAAGATTTGGACATTCCTTAACATCATTTTAACATAAAAAATGAAATTGCAGACTTTCAAAATTTCAATAGAATATTCAAATTCTGTTTATTATTAAAAATGATACCAACAAGATTTTGTTATTTAAAAATATTATATAGATCAAAATTTTATGATTTTTTCCACAATTGTATTTTTCTTATTTCACTAATGCTTTTATGCTTTCTTTTAAAAATAGCATGCGCTATATAGTCGCGAAAGCTCGAAACGTGTCGAAGTTCGAAGGTCACGTTATCAAGAGTCCATAAAATGAATATCGTTTAAAATTTCTTTAAACTCTAAAGAAAAAGAAAATACTTTATGGCGCAAGTAAATTAATTCATGGATTAGTTATTTTGAGAAAAAAAAAAACCTACGAAAATCCGTTTTTAAAATTATTGAGAAAAATCCAAGAAGAAACGTTCTTTGATAAAATGTTTCTTCTTGGATTTTTCGCAATAATTTTAAAATGGATTTTCGTAGTTTTCTTTTTTGTCAAAGAATGTTTCTTCTTAACATATGTTTCTCAATTTCCTGTACACATCACGAAGAGGAAAATTCTGGCCACGAGGTTCCGTCGCCAAATCCCTTGGCAAATTTTCCCTCCACATTCTAGCGGCGTAATAGCATTTTACGTGTATGGAACCTTTTCGTCTTTACATAGACGTTCTTTGGTTAGAATAATCTCCATGTATGGTACAACGGGATTTGGCGACATCATGATGAGCAGTAAACAGGTCATTTTGGTCTTGGCGACAATTTTCAAAATCGTACCAAAGCCTTACCATATACTAGAATTTTAGCGTAAAATCTTTTTAAACCTTTTTTTTTTCTTTTTAATAAATACCTTATCATTTTGTAGTAAAATAAAAAAAATAGTAATCAGTCATCTAGGCTAACCATGTACTATATTCGCTAAAATATCGTTGATTATTCTAATTCAATTTTTAAGTAATTATCTTTATTTTTATGTTATTCTTATAATTTAATGTTGCTTCTTCCCTCTAAATTTATTTCTTATTAGTAAATAATATTTCCAAATTTCAGGAAATTTTCTCTGGCATAATCCTGAAATAAATTCTTGCAGTATGATGACATACCATCACAAAATTTAATGCACATATTTTTTCCTTATGTATGCTGCGAAATAAATATAAAATACCTCAATTTATTAAAAAAATATCATTAATTAGATTTCTTTCTTTCGTTTAGCTGCAGAATGCCTGAAAAAAAAAAAAAAAAAAAAAGCCTTATTTTATTCCAGATTGGGCAGATTCTAATCTCAATCTTCAGTGGAAAAAACAACTCCTATTATATTTGTGTTTTCGAGTGTCAAGGTGGCTTTTAAGAAGACACCTTACACAAATTAAATTTACCTAAAATCTAACCTAACTATTTAGCATTGCGTTGTGATTTATAAGGACCGGATTAGCTTCGTGTTGAACTGGTGATGATCATGAGTAATAATTAAATAAAACATACATTTGTTATCCAATGTATATATCTTAAATTTTATTAAGTTTCTTAAGCGGAAAAGTAAACAAAATTATCAAACAAAGTATACAAAGAATAATTAAGAATAAATGTCCTCTGAAATTTATTGAATAATTTAGTGAATTTGCTACACGATACAAATAATACCATAATTAATTTACCTCTTAGCACAGCCAACGTACATTACGCGGATAGACTGGAATTTTCATGAAACACACCTGGGAAACCTGGAAAAGTCAGGGAATTTCATTCTCTTGTTTGAGTGGCAACCCTGATTCTTGTATTAAAATTGTTTTGAACATGTTTTACGAACGAAGATTTAAAATAAAAGCTTGTAATTTATGTTTATATTAACCAATTGAATAACACTAGGTTTTATTATATATATATACGAGGGCTATCCAGAAAGTAGATTACGTTTTGGAATAAAAAAATAAACAAAGTATAGGAAACAAATTTTATTATATACAGATGAAAGCCACACTCAAATACTACTTTTCTACATAGTCACCATACAAATTAAGGCATTTATCGTAGCGATGTACGAGCTTGGAAATTCCTTCGTCGAAAAATTCGGCCGCCTGCGCCTTCAACCACTTCGTTACCTCTTCTTGCAGCTGTGCGTCGTCATCAAAACGCTGCATAGCCAGCCACTTCTTCATTTTCACAGTTCACATGTTTCACCCATGTTTCGTCACCAGTAACGATGCGATCGAGTAAAGAGTCACCATCCTTATGGTAAGCGTCCAAAAAGTTCAACGCTGCAGCCATTCGCTGATTTTTGTGGTCCTCTGTCAAGATTTTTGGAATCCATCTTGCACAAAACTTGTGGTAACCAAGCTTTTCGCTGATGATTTCGTGCAACAAACTTCGCGAAATTTGTGGAAAACTCAAAGAAAGTTCCGTTATTGTGAAATTTCAATTTTCACGGACTTTAGCATCGACTTTTTCGAGAAGTTCGGCGGTCACTATGCTGGGTCTCCCACTTCGATCTTCGTCGTGAACATTGGTTCGGCCATTTTGAAATCTTATGACCCACTGACGCACTCCACCTTCAGTGATAATGTTGTCCCCATACACTTCACGAAGCTGCCGATAGATTTCTATCGGTTTACAGTTTTTTGCAGTCAGAAACCTTATTACTGAGCGCACCTCGCGGGATTTTCAATTAACGCAGACATTTCAAACCGTCACAGTATCTGAACGGAGCACAGCACGAACCTCTCACTAGCACGGCTAGATGCAGACTGAGCTGCGCAACGCTCTGACCCCAAGATGGCCGCGCTAGCCCCGCCCCTAGCGGACACAGACGGAAACGTAATCTACTTCCTGGATGGCCCTCGTATATGTATTGAAATTCAGCAATGCAATTTTTAAGAAATTTGAAATGATTTAATGACGAGTTAGACAGTTTATATTCTTTAAAATGCGTTTTCTGAGTTTGCATTTTTTCAATAAATCCTTTTATTTAATGTCCTAAAACTTATATAATAATGGCCTAAATTATTTAATATTTTTACCGCTTACTTAAAATTATATAATTTATAGAAACAAGGATGGGTTTTGCAAACTACTGAAAAGAAAATTTATTTGAAGTGAAAATGTGAATGAGATCATATTTGTTTCAAAGTTTTTACATAAAAATGTGTTTTTATTTTTTTTCAGAAACTAATTCATTAATTGCAAAATCGATCTTTAAAGTTATTCAGAACACTAATAAATATGATAAGAAAATCTGGGGAAGAAACATTGAATATTGTGGGAGAAAAATGACATTTTAATTGTTAAACTTCAAAAAATTTTAATTAAAAAAAATGCTGCCAAAAAATTTTGTTTAGCTTAAAAACATCTTGTCTCACAAAACCATGTAATGATATTCAATCTTAAAGTTCTTAAATTTAAAAAAAAAAAAAAAAAAAAAATCATTCAAAAGGTATCGAGTCACTTTGTCTCATTGAAGACGATATGCACGCCTTTAGTTTTAATTTGAACGGTATTTCTGGAATATCCAGCATCAGATAACCTTGTCTGTACTCTTTTACAAATTTCCGTATTTCATAAGGTTCCAAGAGGATATCTATTCCCAGCTATCTTTCAAAGTGGTTTTTTTCACTGACAGTCCAGTGAGCAGTCAGTTGCATATCAGCCATGTTGTTTGTTAAAATTAAATGAACAGCAATATCATGCAGTGCACGATATTGCTATTTATTTCATGCAGTATATTGCTGTTTCAGTATCGTGCAGGGCACTCTGAGCAGGGTAAATGGGAAGAGTTAAAGCTTGTTCGCCATGTGAATGGGACACGTTGGAAGAACCGGTTTCCACTACTGTTCAAATCTGCTTTTGTGAATGGGGCTACAGGGACCAGACTAAAATTTTGCTGAATGGCCACCAAATTTGCCAATTTCTCACGAAATTTGGTGACAAAAAATTTGTCGTCCAAACTATCACCAACTTGGCAGTATCTCTCCAATTTATGGAAGTAATCACTCATTTAATGTTAAATAGACTTCACCCTGTATTCATACTTTTCTGGCAAAGCTTTGCTTCTTTAGATTTTCACGCTACTTTATACAGAAATATACAACAGTTTCACATGTAATTTCATTAAAATTATTGATATATGTACAAAATTCACAACACTATACTTATACATGCACAGTGAAATCTCTCATAACAGCCAATTCCCTGAGATAACCATCTCTTAAAAAATTTTTAATTATTTCTAAGAATATAATTTAATAATGGTATTGAACATTATTTACGATGTTCTGGAAGGTGACCACCACCTTAAAAAACGTAAATTATCTGGGATCATGGATAACATTTAGGGAAGTTTCATTGTATGTATAACATAAAATATATAATTTATCAATTTTGTTTTTTAAATTAATCTTTAGGAGGCTAAAGATGCTATTGAAAAAAGTCTGTCACTTTGGTTACCACAACATGAAGCTTTCAGAAATGGTGAATGCAACCCTATAACAAATGATCTTGAAGTAAGCAATTCAGTTAATTCATTTTAATATAGTTATAATTATTAATGCTATTATAATTGTTGTGAATTGTTACTAAGCTAATTAACATGTGTCAACTTTTTAAAATTACAATACCAAGAAGGGGGGGAAAGCATATTTTTTAATGAAATGATTCACAGGTAATGTTGGCATTTACAGAGCTGTGCAAGAATATTTTTTGCTTTAACAGTCTGTAATGTTTAAAGTTTTTTTAAGTGACAGCAATGGTTTCTGTAAGTCATGAGATTGAGAATATCTTATCCAGTTGGAAACCAAAAAAGTCTGTGGTTCACATCCCAGTGAAAGCATAGTTGATTTTCCACATTCCTTCCTCCACAAAATGTAATAGTCTCTACAGTGGTGTCCAAACTAAAATGTGGTGGAGGATAATTTGTCACGAGCCGAATTTAGTTTACTGAGCCTCAAATCTCTTTCATTCACCTTTTGCATGGGGAATTATCACATTATCCATTACATTTCTTATGGTATAAGTGGTTAGCATGTCCACCTAGGACTTGGAAGATTCAAATCCTGGCAAAGGAAGAGTGTCTCCTGGTACAAATGTTGGTTCATTGTTCATGTATGTTCTATACAATAGTCTGTGTAAGCCTTTGGCGAAGTTTGACTGCTCTGCTGCTACACCAATACCTTGGATTTCATTGTCATTGCTACACCATGCGACCATATTTGGCCATGTGGTCTACTGACATGCAGTCATGCAATTTTATAATCAGCTTCTCTGGTTTTAGCAAGGAGCATTCTCCATTGACAGTATGTATGCATCCTTTATAGTCTTTTATGAGTAGGAGTTTCACAGTAGGAAAATTCAACATCTTGAATCTCAGCAATTCAGCCCTGCTCAATTTTTCCCTCATTACATTTCTTTATCATGTTGGCATAATTAACTGAAAGGCTTTCCCTCCTGACTTCAGTTCACTTTTTCCAAAAAGCAACATCAAAATTAAACTATATTCTAGGCCAGACATTATAGAATGCATTGCACATTTTCCCCAAAACTGTGAACTATGTGCATTCTTTCTTTACATGTTTAGAAAGTTTTATGCTAATGCAATCATATTTGCATGGTGTGATTTTCACATGCAGCTGCATATGTTATTTAAGGCTTTCGAATATTTTGTAAATTAAAATTTTGTAAGCTTAAATGGAATGTTGACGCTTTTTAATGTATATCTAAATGTGTGTTTCTGAAAACACATCTTCAATGATTACTTTTGATGTACAGTTGATTTCTTTAATTTATTACAACAAAGCACATGTTCAGGTGAATAAGTTTCAATTTTTGATATAAAGTATATCGATTATACTTTGAAAATTAAACTGCAGAAATTACCAGTTATCAGGAGTGATTTTGGACTTGATATAGCTGGAGTTTCATATTTTTTACTTTTTTCAAATCCAAAATTTTTGGGATTAGAGAAATGACTTGTATATATAATCATTATGATATACTGTGTTTGAAATGTCATCTATCCATGATTAATTTTTATTGGTGCAGGAGCTGCAAAAAGTATTAAGAATTCTAGAAAGGTTGATCCTTTAATGTATTTTGAAAGAAGCAAATATAGAATTAGCTGGTTATATGCAAGAAAAGGTTTCCTTAAAGAACTTTGTCAAACTTAATAGCATGTAACCTTTTTTGTATTATGAAACTAATACTTGGATAAAATTAGCAGATAATTTGGAAAATGCCATTTCAGAAGATGAAAACATTTCTACAGCAAGGAGTCTAGAACTATCAAATATAATGTCATTTGCCTTATACGGGGGAAAACAAAATAACTGAGCAAACAAAGAAGCTGTTATCGTAAAGTTTTATGTTGAAGTATTCAGGCTAAATAAGAGCACCCAGTATTGACAAACTGAAATAAATTTGTTTTAGTTTCTTTTTTTTTGGACCCACTATTGAAGTGCATTTAATCAGATGGGTGATATGATGACAGAATGCTGTAACCTAGACAGACAACCTATATGCTGTAAAAACAGAAATATTATTTATTTTCATTAAACAAAAATGCTTGTGAAATTTTTGGATCAGAAAATTCTTCTCAAAGCCCTATTTGTAGTAAAGATTTTATAATTTATTCAATAGCCAGACAGCTTACCAAAATTATGTACATTTTTCCATGACCCATTCTTTTTCTGTAACCAGGCTTTCATCTAATAGGCTCATTCTAAATAGGCTTGAGCTTTCATCTTAATTGTTGAAGGGTTAAGTGAAAAGTCATTCACTGTCTATATCCAAATGGCTTGCTGATCATTCTGAATTTTCATTTGTTAGCACAGAAAGATATACACACAGCATTTCTTGGAACTTATCTCTCCTCTCCCCCAAAAGCAAGCTAAGTTTAGAAATTATTTTAAGAAATTCTGAAAAGACAAAAAGGTAAGTAACTTTGTGAAAGAATATAGTAAAAAAAATTAACATTTAAAAAATTAAAAATCATTATACTTTTTGCTTCACAAATGAAGTTGTGTGGAAATTTGTATCACATTAATATTCTGAATTATTTGTAATTATAGTGGTCTTTTACTCTAAGGTAGTTTACAGAATTTTTGAAATGGAATCACAGTCATCCCTAAATTATATTTTCCTTAATTCCACTGACTTTAATTTAAAAACAGTTTTAATTTTGAAATATTCAAAGGAAATTTGTGTGACAATGTAAGTTATAACGAGGAAAGTGAGCAGATTCTACAAAGAATTATTTCAGAATGTAGCCACAAGTAATGGGACGACCACAAGTTCCTTCAAGGTTTTCTATAATCTAATGCAATTTTTCAAATTATTTTGAACAGAAATACTGATAGGTAAAATTATAAAAGGATAAATAATTATACAAAAGATGCTTTAAGAACAAAATGAATACCTGTTGAAGCATAATACCAATAACCTGATGAATATGTATAAAGATGAATTATGGGGAAAAAAGAAATTATTAAAATAAAAATTACTTCATTTATAAGAATTTTATTTTTTTCTATTTAAAATAAAAACTCCTTTTTCCCAGGGCGCTCCATTGTAATATTGTGCCTGAGCTATTGGTAGGCTACGGTAAGAAAAGTGGATGAAATGCAATTTTTTAGTAACAGAAGTCATTTGTATCGTCATTGACATAAAATTACATTTGCTTATTATAAATTATATTTGTTATATTCAAGTAATGTTTTGATAGCAGAATAGAGCTCACCAATAAACTTTGGATTACTTGACCTTGCGCTTAAGTTGTAATGTTTCTGCAAGCCTTAAACCTTTGACTTCTAAATGGGACACATATGTCCAACTAAAAGTTTAAAAACTAATGGGTTAAAAAATACTTCCAATCTTCTGAATGTTAGGAATCATCTTCCAATAGTTGGAAAATCAAGATGCCGTTGTGCTCGTTGTACACAAATGAACATGGAGAAAAGAACAAATATGAGTTGCCCAATGTGTAATGTTGGGTTATAAAAATAACGCTTTACTCTGTATTATACGATGTAGAATCTATTTCATATAGTCACATACGATGTAGAATCTATTTGACATAAGTTTTCCAGAATAAAAGGTATGCTCATAGTAAGTCAATCCCTATGTGTTGGACACATGTATTCCACCATTAACTACGGCTGAGACATCTGTGTCCCAGCCTTTGGCTTGAAAATCGTTTGTCAAAAAAACCCATATGCTGAATTTACCTTATTCATGACATATTTTGTTCACTTGGATAGAAAACTGGGTAAAAATGTTTTAAAAAAAGTCGTAGTCAAAGGTTAAGATATTGCAAAAAGTCTTAAAATGTGTGTTTTGGGCGGGATGGGGGTTCTTCTGTGTTGTATGAATGATAATCTTTGAAACTTTTCATTTATAAAATGTACTTGGTTGACAATCATATGTTTGATTTTCTTTTCTTTTCTTTCTTTTAATAATTTTGAAAGTGAAACAGAGTAAACTAAACTAGAATGGCATATGGATTATATATGTTTGTCTTCTACTTACATAACTTGGAATTTTGCAACAAACATAGGCCTGCAAATGTCATTGATGTTGAATCCATGTATTGAGTCACTCCATAAATTTGTGCGCATTTTGGTAGTTTTTTAACAATATAAAAAAACACAATTTAACATTTTAATCAATTATATATTTTTCTCCATTATCTACAATGTCTTGCCATCTTACAGGCAGCTTTTTTATGCCATTGCTGTAGAAAGGCTCTGGTTTTGATGCAAAAAAACTTAAAGTTCATTGTTTAGAATTTAATATTTTCCCCAGTAAAAAAATTTGTAAGGCACGAAATAAGTGAAAATCACTTGAGGTAATATCTGGGGAGTAAACAGGATGTGGTAAAAGCTCCCAATTAAATTCACTAATTTTTTGCAGCATTGTTCGAGCTGTATGCGGTCTAGCTTTATCATGATAAAACAACACTTTCTTGGTATTCACCAATCTTGGACATTTTTTGATCAATTCTGAGTTTAGACGGCAAAGTTGTTCACTATAAACTTCTGAATTAATCGTACGAATTGGTTCTAACAGTTGAAAACGTCCTGAACCGGGTTCATTACCAATGCTGCTTTTTCCAACTTAAAATTTTTTAAACCATTTCTGGGCAGTTCTTACACTGATAGTGTGTTCCCCATGTACACTATTAATTTTTATTGCTGCAAACCTGGCAGATTCACCACATGAAAATAAAATATGTAGCACAGCACGTTTGTACTGATTATCTATATTCATCTTCTATGGGTACTAAAATGCATTCGATATTTACGAAAGTTGGTGATGAACTGAATAATATGTTAGTCAAACCATGACAAGTTTCAACAGGTTCAAAATTGTATTGTTTTAGTAAATACGCCATAGTGAATTCCATGCATACTCTTAATGTGCACGAACTTATGGACTGACCCGATAATATAGTTCTTAAGCATATCATCACAGTGCATGAATATCTTTAGGCCCTAGTGTTTTGGAACTCATATAAAGGGTATTTTAACACATTCTCTGCCATCTAGAAAAATACTTGTAGTTGGAAAACTGAGTTTACGTGCCATTTGCGAGATAACTCATTATTGATCACCTTACCAGACTACAGTTCACTGCTGTTCTTAGAAGTTGACATGAAAGTATTTTCCAGCTTACAAGGTATAATTTTAAGATTTTTTGAGATGTGGAATTTCTGTTGATCAATCATTATCATCTTCACCTTGTTCTTTTCTGACTGTATAAAATCCCAGGCAAAGAAATTAAGAAGTGTCAGGTTTGTTGAACATAGAACCCATATTCATAAAAGTTCTTAAAAAAATTTGTTTTAAATCTCATAAGGAAAGATATATCAGATTTCTAAGGTTTAATAATATCATATATCCAGTTAATAAAACATCAGAACATGAAATTCAAATTAATTTATAGCCAAATGAAAAGAGAGTCGTATTGTGATGGATTTGACAAATATTAATATTAAAATTTAGAGGCATTTATATGTTGTAATTGGATAAAATTTTTTAATTGCTTAGATATAGAATGCTAACATAAATTATTAGAAGTGTTCTTTATTGCTATTTTGTCTCTTATCATTATTTTATTAATATTGTATTTGAAATTTCACATAATAAAAAAGATAACATATTAATTAAATCAAAAATGTATGCATATAATTTTTCAGTACTTTTCTGTTTAAAGGACATCAGTCCCCAGATGTGTACCAAAGTACCAAATATGGTAGCCTGTTTATATCCTACCATGAATAGCTGTGCAATGTCATCTTTGCAAATAAACAGGAAGAATGAACCTCAGTCTAGGAATTTTCTTTCCTAGATTTTTGTTTGTGTAAGTAGATGAGATGGCTGTTGCTGAATATGAACACCTGCAAGTTAACCTCAATTATAAAGTTATTGATCTTTATGTGGAATGCCAAGTGCAAAATTGCAAAATAAACATCAATGTGGCATTGGTTGTCACCATCTAGATTCCTTTCTTATTGAATGCGTATGTTGGTGATTCTATGAAATGATGCTAATGTTTTCGCCAATATTAAATGAAATTTGGCAATTTTGTGCCTCCTATGTAAACTGAAATTAATCTGTTCTGATAAGTTTAATTTCATATCATTCTAGATTTAATATAATAGTCATTTTTTTTTTTTTTTTTTTTTTTTTCATGAAGCATTTTATATTGTTAGGGTTGCCACCATCTAATTAGATTCTATGTCAATATTTATATTTGGTGCCAAGTTGCACTCTGGTAACAGAAAAGTACCAATTATTTGTGCTGAGCTGGCAGTTTCATGTAGTGTATGATGTTTTCAGAATGTCATCCCTGGATATGACAGCAGAATAAAAACTAGCAAATTACTTATTGAGCTGGAAATGTTCGAAGTGAGTTCTTAGTTTATATTCTTAATTTTCTACAGAATATACATGTTCCATTAAGTGACTAAATTTGTTTCATCCTTTGTGTGTATATATATATATATATATAATCCATCTTATGTATTTTTGACACTCAAATTACATTACTAATGTATTTAAGTTAAAAATCAAATGAATTACTAAAAGATTGTAATACATTTATTTAGTACTGATTATGTTTGACATGAAGAGCTTATGTGTTTGTCATATACACTATCTACCAATAAGCATTTAGGCACTGATACAACAGCCTATATCAGTGATATATGTCATGCCTTCCACCACTAAATATCATGCCGGAAACAACATTGACATCAGTCATGTGCAAGATGCCATGAAGTAATTTCAAGAATGGTGAAATCAATGAGTATTCACAGAAACAACCATTCCTTAAGGGACATATCTAGTGAGCTGAATTATCCAAAAATGACAATTGCCTCTGTGATTCTGAAAGGGAAGGTGAGCGGTGATTGTCAGAATTCGCCCTGAGTTGGCAGACTCTTGAAACTGAGATTCATAAGACTAATAATTAATTATATTAAATATTCATTGTACTAGAAGCATTTAAAATTTAATTGATTCACATTATTATGAATTGGCTGAAAGCCGATACTGAAGCCTGCCAGTCTTTTCTAGAACAAACCAATTTTATAAGATCTCCTTTCTGAAAAAATCTGTATTAGTCAATTTTTTTCATGGAAATCTGTATAGAAACGCCCCATCGCGTAATCTATTAATATCAGAAACCTTTTTCTGATACCTTACTTTCAGTTATGTACAAATCGTAATGTTTTTTTTTTAGCTTCAGTTTGTGTATGGCCCCTGAATATGGTATTCAGTTTTAAAATTAAATGTATCAGAGAGGGTTTACACTTTTTGTATTTTATTTTTTACAATGAATATGGAATTTTTCTGGATATAAGTATAGAGACTGAGAAAAATATAAAGTTAAGTTTTGTAATTTTTATAAAATTTATCTTTTTAAATTTAAAAGTTCTAGATCATGAATATTTGAATCATTTAAAACATTTCTGTAACTTTAAGTATATGCCTATAACCATGGGCATAGTGTGTAATCTATTTAGATTGAAATTTGGTTGATTGAAAATCTATTTAGATGGAAATTGGAATTAACTGAGCCCAAACACTAGATCCACTGTAACAAACTTCAAGAGATTGAATGTTTGGTTCGCTATATCCAGTCTGATAACAGAAAATAAATAAATAAATAAAGTTTTACATCTTAAAATAGGACAAAATAAAATTAATTGATGAATTACCCAGTTTAGCACTGTCACAAAAGAAGTTATTGGTAACTTTAATTTACAAAAATTCTAACAGTTAACAATGATTATTATGACGCGTTATTTTTTTTCATCTTTTTCAGTTTCACTGTACAGTAATAAAATTATACAAAAAATTGCTTGCGATAAAAGTTATGGTTTAGACCCATCCCTCGAATTACTCATTTCCATCTAAAATGTTCATTTAACAATTATGAATGAGTATCAGCCTTGCATGGAGTGCTGTCTGACAGCTCAATAAAGAATTCAAAGGGAATCAAAGAACCAACTGAAACAACTTAGTCAGTGACGCAATAGAAATTCCTAAGATGTGTTTATTGTGTGTCTTGGTTTATCAAGACACACAATAAACACATCTTAGGAATTTTTTAGCATTCAATTATTTATTTAATAATTGAATGCTACATCTACCACACATAGCCTTTTTTAGAAGAGGAGAAAGATGGGAGAGAAGGGTGAAGATAAAAAAAACAGTAAAAGGTTTTTTTCATTATTCTAATAGCCTAAACGAGATGATTTTAAGGGTTAGTAATTTTTCATTTAAAAATTCTAGAAACTTTGTGGACAAATTTGAAAAATGGGAGGGAAAGGAAAAAAAAAAAAAAAAACTGTCAAAAATTTCCACAAGTTCAGTGCATCCAGTTCATATACACTTGGAAGTTCATGATAGCCACATAAAATAACATGTACAGAAAATTGGACCGGACCAAAATATTTGCCTGTTGTATCTGGGGGTGCGCTATAGCAGAGTTTGTAACAGTGTTAGAAATATTCCATAATAAAAATCCTATTTGACATTTTAAAAGTTGTAACTTCACAACTACTATCAGAGCTTGTCAACAGAATGCAACTTTTTTGTTATTTTGTCAAGCTGGGTTTCAGGAGGATCATCAGTTAATGATTCTGCAACTCTTTTAGTATTGTCTTTGGTGATGGTGAATCAAAAGACCTCTAATGTAACAATAATGAAAAGGAGTAAAAGCCCATAAACTTATCTAGCAAACTATCCCAGACAGAGTAAGAACACAGAATACTCTGGAACTTTCAACTGGAGAGAACTTGTGAAAATGTAAAGCAAGAACTTTATCTTTGGATATAAAAGCTAGTAAACATACTTACCTTAGTAAGCACATGGACTAACAGATTATTATTTCAATATAAATAATGCTTGATTGTTAATGTTCTTTTTTATAGTATTAATGATTATTGAGCTTTTTGTAGTTTACTAATAGATAAGTTAAGAACTCAATATTATAGCTTTTAATTATCTAGAACTGATAATGAGTGCAACCATTCTCGGCACAACTCAACACCATTTGCTGCAGTATCATCAGCTCAGTAAAATTAACAGCTTATTATCAATACATTGAAATAACAATAAAGCCTTTTATTAAAAGAGACTTGTATGTTTCTCTACTTATGTCTTACTCTGTATTTTTATGTGAAAGTTTTATATTTGAATTTTTATTTCTGCACTGCCCATATCAATTTGTGCAGAAGAAGGATTCATGTTGCTGTCATTGAATTACATCAGTTTGTTCCTTTAATGAAATTAATATCAAATATTAAATTTTAGCTTGGAATATAATTCTTGCTTAAACTTTAATTAAGCATATTTCATGTCTTTTTCTTCAGGAAGCTGTAAAAGTTCTGGATGGTCTTATTGAAGATGATGATGAAATAGTTGAAGTTTGGTATCTTCTCGGATGGACTAATTATCTACATGGAGATGAATACAAGCTTAATTCACTTTATTATTTTAATAAAGCAAAAAAGGTATATTTCAAGTTTAATTTTCATGGTATCATTTTTATATGTGAGTTAGTGACTTCTTATATTTTTAATTTCCTAATTTATTTACACTTTTTTTAAATATCTGGTTTGTGTTTATTGTTAAATAGGTTGCTGCCAAAACTGGTCAGGAAGATGATGATATGTTATCTCATATAAATGAGTTATTGGAAGAATTAAATGCTGCCTATCCTGATTATTGTGAGGATGAAGAAATTGAAAATGAATATAATTCAGATTTTTCAAGTGATTCTGAAAGTGAAAATAAAATGGAAACATAAAATCAAATTATATGTTTATTATTATTATTATTAATTTTTCATTTAGAATAAACAGATTTCCAAGTTGCAGCCACAGAAGGTTAGGTGAGTTTGTTTTGAATATGTCATAGCATGCGAGGGCTATCTGCTTATCTAAGTCAAACACACTGGATATATCATTTTGTACTTTAATATCAATTCTATATGGAATACTGTTTCAGAACAAAATTCATTACAATTATTTTAGCACTTAAAAGTATTTTACTTAATTCAATATAATTATTATGATATTGGATTAATCATTTTAATGATAAATGTGCTCTATTTATGTTATGAAAGTATGAAAAATATCTGATATGGCCAACATATGACCTTCCGGTTGATCATCTGTTAACAAAATCTAATTTGTTATTCCAATAAAAGAAAGTTCTGGAATACAAAACTTGGGGTTATATTTTATTAGGTGTAAAAAATATTTTTTTATGTATACCAACAATCAAATGTTTTGCTCCTTTTATTAAAAAAATTGAGCAATTGCACTGGTTTTTAATTAAAGAAAATTAAGTGTTCATAATATATTTAAATACTTTGAAATGAACATCATAATTTAATTTTCTTTTACACTATTTTTATAATATCAACAAATCTAAATTCATCTGGGTCTGAACATATATCCCCATGATATTTAGGTATCAGTAAACCATGCTTAGTTTTGAGAATAACAGGTGAATAGTGATTACTGTGTGATGCGGAATTAGTAAAGCAATAGGTGTTTTCAAATTTGCTGTTTCATGATGGATGGAGCAGTGAGTAAATTTAGTTTCAGGTGTGACTCTCTTTATTTAAGAAATAACACTGGAATGTTTTCCTGTTAGCCTGAGCTCCATCACTGCATACGGCAAAGCACTTACTCTAAGGAATATCATTCTTAGACATAACATGGTCAATTACTTATGAAAATTTCATTTGCAGTTACTCTGTCATGAAGATATTTAAAAACTAAATACTCTTCTTCATTTATCTTCTTCGAAACGTATGTAAACTAATAATTGAACAAAGTTCATTATATCAGTACTTTCATCCAATTGCAATGTGAAATACTCACTGTTTTATTTTCTGAATAAGTGTCTCTTTTATGGAATTTGCCATTTCATGAATTCGTCGACTAACTGTGTCATTTGATAACGGAATATTATCAAATTCATTAGCTGCTTTTTCATTGAATAATGTTGAAATTATATCTTTAACTGCTGGTAATATGATGTTTTCTTCAATAGTACGAACCTGCCCAGTCTTGGCAATTCTTAGGCTTACTAGGTAACTAGCCTACAAAGCTTTTTCACTTGAAGTAACAAAATCTTTCATTACTTGTTTACTATTTTTGAACTCCAATAATTTCCTCTTAAAATATTCTTCAGTTTATTCTTTAAATTGGCATGCTTAGATTCAAGATGTCTTTTAAGGTGTTGGTGTATTTAATTATGGCAAAGCACTCAAGGGCTATCTGCCTAAGGGGAGGGATGCTTTCGTGGAGGACTTTCTAAGGGAAATTGGCTCGTATACACATTACACATGGGGAAAACCATGAAAACACCCATGCAGCCAGCCCGTTTGCGGGATTCGAACCTCGGACCGAACTACCAGTGTTCAGCGACTTTACCGCTCGGCCGCTGGTGGGCTTCGATGTCTTTTAAGAAACGATGGTTTCATACTTTGAGTGGATAATAGTTCACTGCAAACATTTGAGGGCCTGTTTCATCTCCATTCCAAGTAAACCGAAATGATAAGTAACATTCATTATATTATCTATAAACAATTTTTGTTTTCTTTCCAATATTCTTAGAAAGAATTCCTGGATCCTTCAGTAGGTGGTTATCCAGTGACAGAATTTTAAATCGTCTTTTTCAACTTTGATCAGAAATTCACAGTTTCCTCTGTGATTCAAAATTTGAATTGCAAAATTGTTTATTTAGGGAATAATAGCTGGTGCAGTTATCATATTTAGCTAATATTTTTGGAATGTTAAATGAATTAAATTTAGGATTACTAGGAAAAAATGTTAATTTGTTTACCTCTAGAGATAAAATAAAGGCAATGATAAAAAAACTTGAGCTAATAATCAAAGAATTGGATAATAGTATTTTAAGCTTTTTGCCACTTTTAAAAAGTTTTCTAATCAAAAAATAATTTGAAAATAGAAGGAAGAATTAGCATCTGACATTAAAAATCATTGTTTTTCATTGATAAATAATTTCAACATTTATTTTTTCGAGGATTATGAAAAAACAATTTGGATTAAAAATCCATTTTTTTTTTTAAATATACCTGAAATTTTATCTCGTGAAAAAAAAAAAAGATTGAATAGAAATTTCCTGTGATCGAACTCTACTGAGATTTAAAAAATAACACAACATAATAAAATATAAAAAATAACAAATTATTGTTAACTTTTGCTTTTTTTTTTTTTTTTTTTTTTTTTTTTTTTTTTTGAAGCATTTCAATAAAGCTATTAAATTTTATTGCCTTTTGTATAACCTATATATTGAAACAAGGATTTTCTTCCATGTTATATTAAAAAATAAATCCGAACAAATAACGTGGATTCTAATTTAAGCTTAAAAAAGTGAAATAAAACCAGACATAAAGAAATTGATTTCTCTTAAACAGGCATAAATTTTTCAAAAAAGTCACTTTGTTCAAATGTACCAGAAATTTTATCTTGTGAAAAAAAAAAAAAAAAAACAATTGATAGAAATTTCTTGTGATCGAACTCTAACTGAAGGTTTAAAAAATAACACATTTGTTAACTTTGGCTGAACTGAAAAAAAAAAAAAAAAAAAGAATTTAGATAGCTAGTAGATTGTCCTAGATACATCACTTGTGAATCATTGCTTTTCTGCTTAGTCAATTGTAGCCATTTTTCCATTGTTTCACTAAGAATCATTATCTGGATTTGCATGTTGATTTTTCCCCAGAGATATTAAAAGTTTCAAGTGACGAATTTGATCAATGCTTATGTATATATAAAATTAAATAAAGGAAAATGAACTCAGACAAATGCTAATCGACTGCTATTGAACTCAGAGGGGTGTATTGGTATATCAGAATGAAAATGACACTTAAAATCAGTTAAAATTGCATTTTAGGTACTCACTACTAATTATAAGACTCTAGTATTGACTGAAAAAGTAGAAAATGTTTTTTGGAGAATGTTTCGTATATAATGCAGATGAATTCATTTTGACTCAAAAAATATTAAAATTTATTAACTAATTAATCTGTCCTCTATCGAGCACCTTAGTTCAGTGATCTGTAAAAAGGCGCCAGTTCTTTAATGTCAATTCTTCATTTATAAAACTGCATTTTCAGCTATAATCATGTGAACAAATTCCCTAAATATAATTCATTGCAGAAAAAATAAAATACTGTTACATGCATATGGGTTAGAAATAAATTGAATGCACAAGTCCGATGAAAAGTGAATAAAATGTATTCTTATCACAACAAATAAAACAAAATGCTGAAATTTCCTCAGAGATATTCGTGCAATATCGCATAGTAGTTATATTTTAAATTACTAAAACGCTGAATAGAACTCAAATTAAAAAAACTGAGAAAGCTAATCCAATTTCACCGCGAATTCGCTACAGTAAACCACAAGAACTAAGTAAACAACTGAACTGAGATGTTTTCCTCCAGCTTTTGTAATCTTTTTAATCCTGCAGGAGAACATTCTTGTGTTTTCCTGATTTTTCTGGATAGCAAAAGAGTACAGTTACGAGATATCTATTTATTAAAATGTTCAATGCGCACGCTGCTGGATTTGAATTTTTCCGGCGTAGCCTTTCTCTTCAAATAAGATGCGTGCTGCATTGCATGGGAATATAAAACAATTTTAATTACAAATTCTACTAAAAATAGCTAAATAAGTACAAAATCCATAACAATACATAAAAGGCTTGGAAAGGGAATCAGCATTGAGATTCTCTTTAAGAAAAATGATGAAGCTTTCAAAAAATCTAGAAACAGAAATAATTCGGTAGAATATTTTATCTCTTTATCACTGAATTGCACAGAGGAAAGAAAGCAAGGCGAGCGAAAGACCGAATGCTGGTTATATGCATGACAAACTGTGAAGTCAGGCAAAGATTGTCGGTCGAGGGGAGGAGTCTTTTAATTTTTTCACTGAAAAAGTTCAACAGAAAGAGAAAAATTTTTTGGAAGCTTTTGCTAATCTGAGCAGGGAAAAAAAATTGCATTTGTGTAGAGGGATGCAAATGTGGCTCCCTGCTGTCTACGACAATGTTTCGGTGTGACCTTGGGTAGAAAATTCAGGCGTTATCTCCAAAATATCGAAAAAGGCTTTTGTTAGCTATGAGGTAAAATGAATACCTTAGTATAGATATTTTTTGGGAAAACCTGTCTGGGTAAATATTTTCATGAGGCCAATGCAAGTTGTCGTTATTTGGACGTTTCTTATTGACACGGCCTCTGCCTACCGTGTACACAAATCTACGCCATAAAGTAAAAAATTCAATGTGTTATGCAACAATGGTCCTAGCTGATCAATATAGTCGAGGGGTTGGTTCTCCTAAATATCCTGCTAAGGGAACATCGTGTACTATTTTCAAAATATATTCTTATTTACATAAGGAAGGACAACACTACTAGTTTCGCCCTTTCTTTGCAAATCACTTCACAATGTATTAGTAATTCACCTTCTAAACTATATGAGTTTTGATTATTCTAGGCTAAAATCTAATGCTAAAGTTGTTCAAAGTATTCATCCTCCCGTTATAACAAAAATCGATTTTTTGGGTGTATCTCAAATTTCACTTCCTGATCAGTGTTATCTTGCCTTCCACGGTCTCACTGCTCATTCCTTCCGTCTGCTGAATACTTACACCGTCGAGTTTCACCTTTAATTTAGAATTCGTTTTTCATTTCTTCCACATGGTTGCTTCCATGGGAGTGTTCGTGTGCTGTAAAATAAGCTATTTAAATTTATGTTTTCTGACAATGCTCGATA